ATCTCTAGCCTGCCTTGTTTCGAAATCCTTGCAAGATTTTTTTTTTTAAGTAGTTTACCAATCACACCTTTAGAAATTAGGTCACATATAATGAATTTAAACATGAAGGGCAGTGTTAGATTTCTCCACTGTTATTTTTTTCTGCTTCATTCCAGTACATTTTATCAATATTAAATACGCTGTTATGTAGGGGACAGTTAACACTTTAGTAGGATGTTACTTTAAAAGAAATTGGCCCCTTGAATGTCTGCTAGAGATGTTTTTGTGGGCATAACAAATTCATGAAAAAGTATAATGGGTTTTGTAAATTCTCCATAGCCTAGGTTGTTTGGATGGAATTCTTGGAATGAAAGGGGCTTTTATTTTTTTTGTACGGGAGAATTACATAGACGATTTTACCTGTGTTTTAAAATTATGTGCTGATGGTTATTCTTTACAAAATATTTAACATCCTTAGGTACCTAGATACTGTAAAAATGTTAACTGGTTCAGCATTTTAAAGTTTCTGTTAGTTAAAAACAGCAGCTAAAAAATGCAGTGTATATTGGTACCACAAGGAAGATCATAATCACAGCTTCCTTTCTGTGTATTGAAATTGAATTACAGATGTGTTCAATTTTTCTGTATTTAGTTTTTAATGTTTGCTAAATACTCAAATTTCTCTATGGGATAAAATTAAATAGTGTCATAGCATTGCAGTTATGTTTATGGGGGTATAAACGTATCTATGGAAGATAACTTCAGCCCAGATTTTATTGCATGAATTAATGTGTATCACAGGTATAATAATTTTAGGAACTGATTACAATACATATAGAACCAATAAATACTAAAAAATACTTCTTAGGACTGCTTGTTCAACCTCTTTTTATACCCTGTTGTGGAGGATGTTATGAAGAGGCAAGAAAAAAGTTTTTTTGTGTGTGCATTCTCACTATTTAAAACTTGAATTTTGTATGTGTTATTTGACTCTTTGATAATGTTTTATAAAGATTAAGTCAGTGGGGGTTGGGAGATGCTGTTACAGTGCTTGTGTACATGCAAGAAGCCCTGGATTTGATCCCTACCTCAGCAGAAACCCTTAAACTGGATATGGCATACACCAGTAATCCCAGCAGTTTGGAAGTGTGTAGGCTGGAGAATTAGGGGTTCAAGATCATCAGTTGAGTAGAACTCAAGGCCAGCTTGGGCTACCTTGAGACCATATATTGGAGGGAGTGTGCAAATAGTATTTGATACAGAGTTTTGTCAAGTTGTAGCAGGTTACTGCTTGAGGAATAAATGTGCAACTTTAGTTGAATTTTGTATCAGATTTAGATTTTATGTTAACCCTTGTGCTCTATCTCCTTGGTTTGTAGTTGTGAGATTACCTGAGATATCCATATTCTACCATTTTCCCCATGAAATTTGGTGCAATGAACTTCCCCACAATTACTTGACTGCCAGTAAATTATTTTTTCTGGCTGTGGGCTGTCATTTTGTAAAGAAAGAGCTTTACACTTTGCCTGACAACTTTAGAACTCAATTGGCTTTTTTGGAAGAGTGATAAATGTTAAATTAACAGATAATTTAACAAAGACATTAAAAAAAACTCAAACCCTAAGAGTTACTTTGCATACAAATAAAAGCTTTGTGAGTTTACTTGTCTTGGATGGCTGTCACTGTAGCTGAATATTGTCTCATGTGTTCAGCTTGATCAGGCAACCTCTGAACTACTTGTTTTGGAACTTTAAGGTTTTTTAATGAAAAGCCAGAATTAAAACAATTTGACCCAATCATTAAACGCTCAGGGTCTGTTTTCCTTTTTAATCAGTAATTTAATACAGCATCGTTTACATTGCTTATATGTCTGTTAGGATCTTTGCCTCCTAATTAATTTCTCCTTCAGTTGATTAGGTGGCTGTCAGGCCAGAGACTTTTCAGAAAACTGTGCTAGGTACATTTGAGTTCAAATTAGGAAGAGGAGGGAGGGACAAGGTCTTTCTGAGATGAATGATGGCAGAAATGTGGAAACTGCCATTCATAGTCTAGTTTCTGAGACAGTTTCAGTTTGAGTGTTTCATTGTGTATGGATCACTGTGTTTTGGTGTTTCAGGCATCTTCTGGGCTGAATTTCATACTTAAAAAGGCTTTGAATTCCTTTGTTGTTTGGGGAAAATAGCTTCACCCTGAAGAAATGTTGCAGAAAATCTGGGCAAGGAATCAAAATTAGCCCTGAACTTAGAGTTTCACTCTCAGTCTTGCTGTGTATAAAATAGGTCTGAATTTGGCTTTTACTTTAGTACTCAAAATTTCCTATTTAGGTTATTTTGAGACATGAAATTTTCTCATTTCCCAAAATGTAGATAATGGCAATCATAGGGGGGTTGTGAAGATTAAGTAATAATGTCTATAAGGAACTTAGCAGAGATCCTATGCCATTGAAAGTACATAGTGAATATAAGTTATTAGTGGTGCTATTTTATTATTGCTTCAGCTTACCCTTCCTTCTCTCCAGTTCCTCCTCAGTCCTTGGTAAGTAAGTGCCTGTTCTAAGAGTCAAGTTTTGCCTAAGGGCCCTGGTGGATTATTATTATTACTAAGAGAGCCTTTTTTAGGCAAATTAGGGGAGAGATTTGTGAGAATGACTTCAGGCTGCATGTCCCTTCTTAGTTAAAATTTTTGTGCATTTTGTAGTTAGTCCTCCATTAGTGATCTGTGTCATTCCCCCCTCCCCCTTCCAGCCCTTGAGGAGGGAGTATATGATTCTTCCTGAGCTGTAACAGCTTCTTGTGTGAGTCACAGCCCTGGTCTTGGCAGTCACTGAGTAGATTCCTTCTTACCTTCTCCTCAAGCTAGTAATTACTGCCCTGGTTTACCCTCTCCCTCATTTTCTTCTCAAGTTGTTAAAGCAAGCACCGAGAGTGGATAGTGAGTGCTTTGCTGCTTTACTACATTTGAAATGTAGCAGCTGTAATTCTTGGGCCCCTGGTTGGTTGTGTGTGGCTTTAGCCAGTCTTCACCTTAGTACCATGTATTTGATTCCACGTAATATCTAATAATATACAGTTTATGCTCTTAGAACTATAATGCTAAGTTTTGTGTGTGTTAGGTTTCTTCCACTTCAGTTCCTTTCAAAACGTTTTTTGGATTAGATGAGGTCCTCTCTTTTTCTTTTTTTGGCTTCAGACTTTGAAGATTTTTTTTTTTTTTTTTTGGTATTTTTGAGACAGGGTCTCCCTGTAGCCCCAGCTGTCCTGGAACTCACTATGTAGACCAGGCTGGCCTTGAACTCACAGAGATCCACCTGCCTCTGCCTCCTGAGTGCTGGGATTAAAGGCGTGTGCCACCACGCCAGCTTGAAGATCTTTTAAAATAGAAGTTCAGCCCTTCTCTCCAGATGTAATTTTAAAAACTCCCCATGTGTTTCAGATTTGCCCATGCTTCCCTGTTTGCAGTGTTGGGAGTCGTCTGATAGAACCCTATTTTTTGTCCTTTTTCCTTTTCTGATAACCACTGGGCTTTTTTCATTTCTCGTTTTATCCTTTTTATTGCACTTTTAGGCCAGGTTTTTGAGTTTGAAGCTCAGGAAATAAAGATGGATGGAGTTCTGAGAAGAGTTGCAGGTTTAGTGAAAGATGGTATTGAAGGCCCACCAAATCCAGCTATAGTCATACTCTTCCCTTCCACCTCCCCCTTATTTTTTAAAGACAGGGTCTGACTATGTAGCCCTGGCTTGCCTGGAACTTGCTATGTAGACCAGGCTGGCCTCCAATTTACAGAGATCCACCTGCCTCTTACTTCTGAATCCTGGCATGTTCCACCACACCCAGCTCATGTGCACTTTTTAAATACATGCTGAGGTGATTTTCCATTCAAGATTTCTGAGTTCCTGCTGTGTCTTAGTTGTTCTACATTCTGGTGTTCTCTTCCCTAGCTGGTTCTACACCTACACCTTTCAAATACCTCCAAAAGTTTAGACTAGAATTTCTTAATTTCAATGCAGTTATATTCCATTCTGAATTTGCCTTACCCCTCAGGCTTATAGAATAGCTATCTAAAACCAAAGGCTATGTAGTAGTGGAGATGTGGTATGCTGTGGGGCAGTTATTCATAAGTGAAGGTTGTTACCCGGGTGAGCTCTAAATTATAATCAATATGAAAGAAATGATAATAAACTTCAGGGAATCTCATTTATATGGGTTATTTCTAAGTGCATGATAGCTGGTAATATTTCATTCTGGACTTTTAAATAATGAAGGAAAAATCCTGAGGCAGGAGATTTCATAATAGCACAGACTGTCTTTATTTTTTATTTTTTTGTGTTTTTGAGACAGGGTCTCCCTGTAGCTCTAGCTGACTTGGGACTATGTAGCTCAGGCTGACTTCAGTCTCACAGAGATGTCTTTAAATTCACTTTGTAGCTGAGTGTGACCTTAAGCTTCTGATTCTCCTGATTTGACTTCCCAGTTGCTGGCATTACAGCCTGGTACCACTATGCCCAGATTGTGAAGGAAAATTTTATGCTATGAACTTTTTTGTTGTTTTTTTTGGTTTGTTTGTTTGTTTTTTGAGACAGGGTCTTCATGTAGCCCTAGCTGGCTTGGAACTCACTATATAGATCAGGCTGACCTCAAGCTACCTGCCTCTGCCTCCCAAGTGTTGGGAGTAAAGGTGTGCACTACGACAACCAGCTTGATGAGCACGTTTTTTGTAGGAAAAGGCTATACATTTCGGTGTGTTGGCTCTGTTGTAAGGGTTTACA